GGTGCGGGAGCGAGGTTGCCGGGAGCGAGGTTGCCGGGAAACTCGGGAATAACGCAAGAAAACAAAAACCGTGTGGGCAGCCTGGCGTTTGTGCCCCGTTTGTGCCGCGTCCCGTGCCCCCGAGTTCATAAAAAAACAAAATAAACGCTCTCACATGACAAGCGATCCCACAACAGCGATTGTGGGGACTACAATGACATGATCCGTACGTAAATGTTCACCGCCCGCCACGACACATCTGTTTAAGGATTAAAAAAGAAAAGCACGTGCAGTCGTCCTTGCTGAAAATCCCCAGCTAAAGTGGAAGGCAGGAAGGGAGGCCATCGCCCTGGCGCATCTCCTGTTCTCGAGCTGACCTGTCCGGCGTGGAAACCCGGGCCAATACGTTGATGCTGCTGATGCTGCTGCTGCTCGTACTTGCCGCCGACGGCGCAGCCGCTCCACAGGCGACCCTCAATGACTGGAGCCAGTGGGACTTGACGAGCGTGCCGCCAGCGCCGCTGCTGCCGCCGCCTCTCCCAATGCCGCCGCCTGTGCCGCCGCCGCCGCAAGCTCCAGTCGAGCCTCACACCGCGGCTCAGGTTTCTTCAGGCGTGGTGTCGGCCGTAATAAACGATTGGACATTGTACGGCACTCCGTTGGCGCCACCGGCGCCGCCCTCTCCCCCGCCGCCGCCCAACCCTTCACCGGCGAAGCTGCTGAGCGTGCTGATGGCGGCGCTCGAACTCGGCAGCAGGGCAAAGGCAGCGGCGGCGGCAGCAGAGGCGGCGGCGGCGGCAGCAGAGGCGGCGGCGGCGGCGGCAGCGTCAGCGGAGACGGCGACCGAGGCAGAGGCAGCGGCGGAGGTAGCGGCGGAGGTAGCGGCGGAGGCAGAGGAGGAGACTTGGGTCGTCGCTTCGAGCGTGAGCGAGATTCGCCAGAGCATTGCGCGCCAAGCGAGGCACCCGCAGCGTACGCTGCGAGTTGCCCTCAACGGCTCCTCCAAATTCCACCTGGATGGGGCAGCTGTCCTGATCGATGGCATCGATGTCACCCTCGCCGGTGACGGCAGCCATGTCATCGATGCGGGCTTTCGCTCGCGCGCCTTCGTGGTCACCAATCGCGGGACGCTGACGCTCTCAGCGCTGACACTCAGCGCTGGGT